GAAGGAGCTGTTCCTGTTTTGTTGATTTTTTTTCTTCTTGCAGCGAGTAGGGTTGTACCCCAAGCCTCCTGCTTGCTAGCCGAGTGCTCTACCACTGACATGGACACCAAGACATATTTTCTTTAGTTTGAGACAGGGTCGCGATAAATTTCCCGAGTAAATTTCCTGAACCTGCCTCAGTCTTGTGAGCCGCTGAGATTACAGGACTGCCCCGGGGTGCCCGGCTCACTGCTGTCTTTAATGGTGACAGAACGCATGGCGTGACGTAGTGTAACTTCCACGGGCTGCATGGATGCATGCGTGTATTTTTATATTTACAAAAGCTAAGCATGCAAACATTCACAAAAGGGGCTCTCTAAGGGAATGTTTATTGAAGAGTTCGAGTTGAATGTTTTAAGATGTTTTTATTACATGTGTTTGACTATGTATATATGTGTGCAGATGTGTTTATTATGTGTTTATAGTATGAACATATATGCAGATGTATGTTTATTGTGTGTTTATGAGTATGTATATATACACACAGATATATTTTGTGCATATATGTGCATGTATTTACATATTTAATGGGAAATTAAATCAATAAGGATACAAAATGCCCACATATCCATGAATGTGTATATGTACTAGATATGCATGTATGTATTATATACATGCAGAGAAAATGATGTATGTTATATGAACACATGTACACAGACATATTATATGTGCTTATATATAGATACGTATTCACCTAAGTGTTAATACTTAATGAAAATGTGATCTTGAAGAGCTTTAAGCCCATGTACCTCTGTATGTGTAGGTGCACCTGTATGTGCACACATAATTAAGGGAAGTGGGCATAAATGTGTGAATTTCTGAGAATAGACACTCACGGATAGAATATGAATATGCATTCATATATTTAGTGCATTTACATGTGCAGGCACACAAACATGGGTCCATGTTATACTTGTATGAACACCCACAAACATGTGTAGTTATGCATCTATATTTGTATGTATATATATATATTTAATAAAAATGTTAGGTTTAAAATTTTAAAGTCTATATTTTGCTGCATGTATGAAGTATATATGTACATATACATTCTATAAGTCATCTATGTAAGATGCATACCTATGTATAAGTGTATGATAAAATGCTTATTCATAGTGCATATGTGTGCATATATATGTGTGTGCTTATCTATACATATGCATGTACTGTATATGCATACATAATTTATACGATCTATATCAATATCATTATAAATTAAATGCATGGATATAATATGAAATAATCCATACTTGTGGTGCCTGTGTCTCTATATGTCTGTGTACATAATGTATATAATGTATATATAGTGTGTATGTGTGATGCCGTACGTACCTAGAATGAGTGTGTGTGTGTGTGTGTGCAGGACACACAGATATGCATGTTTCGCCAAGTCTTCCAATCGTGCCATCATAAAGGGGTCAGATATGCAGAGAGCAGATCCTGACATTTCCCTTCTCTCTCCGACACTTCTGGCCACTAAGCATTGAGGCCCTGACGTGAACGGCTGGGCTCCTCCCTCCTGCCTGCAGGTCTGCGGCGGCCAGCCCCCCATCCCTCGTGTCCATCCGGAGGGCTACTGTGCCTAAGCCATGCGCATGGCCCACAGCGAGGAGGACCCCAGCGTCGGGGTCCCCAGGGTCACCCCCAGCTCCAGAGTGGGAAGGCGGAATTGTAGCTGCCAGGGAAGATGCACACACAGGGAGCTCTTTGTTTGAGAGCCATAAGGCATCTGCATATCAAACAACACTCTCCGAATGGGTCCTGGTGGAAGGACTTTTTTTATCATGCAGAACCTGGCTCATGCAAGATCTGGCAAGCCGCAGGAGGGCCTGAGGAGCTGCCTCAAAAGTGTGGTGAAGAAAACATGCACTGACTCAAACTAACAAACATCCCCCCCCAAAAGACTCCTCTCTTTAGAGCTTCGGCAGAGGCAGCCTTGCCTTACACAACAAGAAGGGCCCAACGCAAAGGGGAAAAATAAAATCAAGATACACCTCCTACAAAGAAAAATGCACACATAATTATTTGCACAAAGCATTAGAAAATACTGTGATATTTTATTATTAAAAATGCTGCTGAAAAGTTTATACTTGTGTGTCCAGCCATATATATCTTCTATCATTACTTAAGGCAAACTCAAAAAAAACCCAAAATTGCAAAATAATAACCCAACGAACCATTAAACCCTGCGTGCCTTTGAAGGTTGAGAATAAAAGCCTACGAAAGTATTTTTTTTCGTATTTTTCTCCTTTTTTTTTCTTTTTTATAGATAGCAAGTATAGTTTTTTTCTCATAGAACTCTATGAAGATTCTATATTCTCTTTCCATGTAGAAATAAGATATCCTTTGTGATGTAGTAAATTGCTTTTGATCATAATCCTCTGGAAAAAAAAAATCTAAAAGTATTCACTTAGCAGGAACTCTGTGTCGCTACGCAAATGCCAGGAGGCCAACGGACGCATGACTGTACATACTGCTAGCCGAAGACAAAACAGAAACTGGAATTGACGTCACAAACAAACGGAACCAGCGTAGATGGCAAAGCCCCCGAGTCCTGTGGTGTGTATGCTGCTTGCTGTTAGCCAGAGCGGAGGAGACATACCTTGCAGGAGATGCTTTGACAAAGAGCTTGTGGAGAAAACGCGGACTCCGTTGTGAAGGAAGGGTCGGTGCTGGTTTGTAGGTCCTAAATTGGGCACACTAACATCTCACACATTTATATAGACAGAGCAAAACTCTGGGACTGAAATCCACATATCGAACAGCATTGACTGAGTGATTTTTTTTTTTTTTTTGCATTATTAAGAACTTTATATTTCTTTCCCCCAGAGGTCAAACACTTTCAGCTATTGCTTCAGTTTTAGTGTAGGAAATTTTATGCTACTTGAACATTGTTATCTTAAGGAAGTAGAGAGAACTGGACCATCTTTTATGCAAAATACCTACCTGGGTGTCTGCATCTCAGACTGGATTCCTACAATACTTAAAAAATCCAGCTCAGACATCTTGTCCTCAAACATCTTTGGCTACTTTTGCTTGGTAACTCCATTGTATTTGAAGGACACAAATACAATGTCAGCTTGGTTATGCTGTGCTCCTTCCACCTCATAACCCTTAAAACATGCCTTAGAGGAAAAAAAAATACTACGAATAAACAACGAGCCATTCTGGGGAATAAATCGCAAGGTTGCCAATTCTAAGTGGATCAGTAATTTCTATTGATTTCCTGGACAGTGTTGGGGTCTGAATTCTCTAGGAAACCCACACAAAGGAGTCCTGACGCTGTATGAATTTGGGTTTTCCTTTGACACCCCCACTCCTCTTTCTGTGTTTTTCTTTCTTTCTTTCTTTTCTTTTCTTTCTTTCTTTTTTTTTTTTTTTTTGTTAATTGGTGCTGGTTACAAAACTCTGCAAAAAGCAATATTTTCAGACAGTCAAAAGTTTTCTCCCATAATCGATAGGAAGATTTGGGAGGGTGAAGCAAACGAGCTCACTAATGAATAAGGGCTGTACTGCTTAAGCCAAAAGCACAGCTCCTTGGAGCAGATTAGCTAAGCTGGGTGGTAGGTAAGAGGCCAAGCTCTGCAGCTGGACTGACACACAAAGCTGGATTGATGGCAGGAGGTACAATCCTTCCATAGTCGAGCTTTCTTTCGTTTTTGGCAATATTCTGGGATGGGAAGGAACACTTCCTAAATCTATTCAAAGGGCCAGAATTACAGAACCAGACTTGTGTAATGAGTTTATTATTTTTTTTCTCTCTCCTTTCCTTCCCCCTCTCCTTGTGGGCTGCCCATGTGTGCCCGTGGCTGAATTCTACACACATTCACGGAAGATCAGCTCCGGGGACCCACGCCTGCGTGGAGATTTCAGGAAGGTTTAACCACACAGGAAAATAAGTTTTGAGAGGGAAAAAAAAAATAAAAAGCAAAAACAACATTCTCCCTAAGAATGCTTCTTTGTCATGTGTTTTGGGCAACTTGAACGGGGGACACAAACAGGCCACACAGATGGTCCAGGATTCTTCTGCAGAATTCCACATTCTTTCACAAATGAGACAAATTACACAAACCCCACGTCTTTTGCTTGTTTGTTTGTCTGCTTGTTTGTACCACAAATAATGAAGAACAAAAGCTTTGTTGTTTGTTGTTTGCTTTGGGGGAAACGGAAGTGGATATGAACAATGTATATATAATATATATATATTTATATTTATATACATTCAAAACACAATGAAAAATCACAATCTTGCTAAAAGCTCTTTCAAACTGAAAACATCAATAAAAGCTTTTTTTAAAATTTTATTCCCCCTCTGTGTGTGTGTGTGTGTGTGTGTGTGTTTAAACTCACAGCTATATACAATTTCTTTTTTTTAAATTTTTACAAAGTTTCTTAAATATAGTTCAGTCTGGCAAGACAGCCTTTCGCACAGAACACTATAGGTTTATTTCTCTGCATAGTCACATCTTATTTTAACGATAAAATTTCTACTTCTTTTCCCTTCTCTCTGGATTACAACTCTTTACGACATTGGGTAAAAAAAGAAACAGAAAAAGAAAAGAAAAGGAAAAAAAGAACCCCTAGACACTCTCTTTCCTTAAGTAGAGCCATCCATTGCATGGCATGTGAAGAACTTATTAATTTTTATTTTTTTTTGCAATTGCAATTGTTTTAAATAAAAAAATTCAGATGTTCCTCACTGGGTTTCAGAAGTGTAAATTGCTAATTGTGAAAACCGGAAACCTCCGAGTCCTTCCGCAGTTATGTTCTGGGGGCCAAGAGTGGTATTTTGGGGAGTGGGGAGAAAGCTTAGAGCAGTATCATCAGAGAAATGTCAGCCTTTCACATTTCGTAGGGTGACGAGTTGATGGACCAGTTGGGGACAGTGTCAAGGACGAGGAAGTGTCTCAGGGAACCAGACAACCTGTTGTTGTTGTTGTTGCTGTTGTTGTTGTTGTTGTTGTTGTTGTTTTGCCACAATGTTATCCTAATCCGTAGAGATGAAGAGCTTTCCTGGTGTGGAGATTTTTGTCTTTGCACATCTGCTTGATGTCTTCTACTGGGCAGAAGGGGACAGAAGGCAGGAGAGAGGGGAAGGTTGGAGGGCAGCAAAAAGCTATACTCTAGTGGTGGAATGTCCGTGCGGCAAATTTGTACTGTTCTGCCCCCCGCTGAAGGTGTTAAACGTGTGTAGGGGTTGCATGCCCGTGAGGGTGCTGGGGATCATGGTGATGGTGTTGGGGGTCATGAGTGGGATGTCGTCGGGGGACCGGCGCAGCGTGAGCGCATAGTCTGGGGGACACGTGAGCCTCAGGGTGTCGTGCGCCTGCAGGGACTCACACTCGTGGTCGTGGTCCAGCTGCTTCATCTGCAGGGACATGATCTCCTCGTTCTGCATGTGCGCGATGTCGTTGGTGGTGCTCCTCTGCGGGCTGGGCCGCCTGTGCGTCTCGTGGCGCCTCTTGTCCTTCTTGTAGTACAGGGCGGCGAAGGCCAAGATGTTGAGGAACAGCAGGGAGGCGCCCACGGCGATGGTGACGCTCAGCTCCGTGGAGTAGTCTCTCTTGGTCTCGATGAGGACCGTGGTGTCCTCGGGCCCCGTCTTCTGAGAGTCCTTGGAGTGCTTGGGGTTGTTGGCCGGGGTGATGGCCGGGCGCTTGGTGGTGGGCCAGATCTTGGCCGGGGAGCGCCGGGTGCCGTAGGGGTACGATGTCATGTCCGGAGGGGGCACCTTGGTGGTGGTGGACACGTACTGGAAGATCTCGTTGAGGTTGTGCAGGTGGGGGACCAACTCCAGCCAGAAGGCCACCTTGGTGGCCCGGTAGTGGTCGCGGACTCTGGGCTTCAGGCCGATGTGCAGGTAGAGCTGGTCCTTAGGGTTGTACTTGGACCAGGCCACTTCTTCAAAGCGGTTGGGTTTGGTGTGGATGAATTTTGTGTCCTGGGGGACAGGCTGGTTGGGGTCCCTAGAGGGGAGGGGAAGACCAGAAAGGAGAGTGAGAGAGGCAAAGCTGGACAGGCTTCTCGACTTGGGAAGGAAGACTGCAGATGAGTCCCTGCACAACTTGGGCTCAGTTGGTTGCATTTGTACGCCTGTGCGCAACGTATCCGAGCAGATACTCTGGGCTTTCTTGCAGTGCATGACTACCTTTTGGATTACATTTGTCCTTGAGATAACCCTCTCATTAGAGACTTCTCAGGAGAAGTACACATGACCCAACGACCATGGGCAAACTGCTCAACATCTCTGGCCTCGAGAGAAATGCAAACTGCAACAACACTGAGGGTCCATCTTTTTCCAGGAAAAAAAAAGAAAAAAGCAATCAGCGTCAAGAAATTAAATAGTGGGCTGTGTGTGGTGGTACATGACTGAAATCCCAGCCAGCCCTTAGGAGGCTGAGGCAGGAATATCCTCATGAATTCAAAGGCAGTCTGGGCTATATAGCAGGTTCCTGTCCAGTCTGAAGAACAGTGGGAGACTGTGTCAACAACAACAATTAATTAATTAATTAAAGGAAAACAAAAAGAAATCACATACTAACAAGAGCTGCCGAGGGTTTCTGGGAAAGCAGGCAGTACACACTCTTGGTAGTAAACTACTACAAGAATGTTCAATGCCAATGTAGATATTCCACCTCAACCCCCTGAAATACCCTAAATGTGTTTTTTTGGATTTTTTTAGGAACCGGGGATTGAAGTCAGACCTTGTATCTAACAGGGAAGTGCTTATTCTACTGAACTATCTCCCCAGCCCCCAAAATACCCTAAATATAGAAACCCTCTTCCAACAAGCTATCCTTCCCAGAGGATTAAGGATGTCACACCACAGCGATCCATTTACAACCACGTTTATGGCGGTACAAGTCATGCTAGATACATGTTGGAAGAAGCGTACATGTCCCTCAAAAGACAAATGGATAAAGAAAATGTGGTGTTTGTGCACCAAGGAGTACTACTCGGCCATAAAGCAAGATACAGTTCAGTCATGTGTAGGAAAAGAGAGGCACAGTACCGAGTGAACTATGTCAGAGACATAAACTTAAATATCAATGGTGATGAACGCAAATAAAGAGCAAGAAAATATAAATAATATGAAATGGGAAGACACATCTTTTGGAAACAGGAAGAGGAGCAGGAGATGAATAAATGGTTAGGAGGGAAAATAACTAGGATTGAGCTATATTCTGGGAGGCTGGGACATAGCTCAGTAGCACAGTGCCTGCCTAGCTAGTGTAAGCGTCTGATTTCAAATCCCGTAAGACATATTATGTCGATCGAATAAGACCCCTTGAAATTTGCAGTCATTGTGTACTGCAAACACGTAGTAATAAAAATAAAAATATCAAAAAATCTATCTGCAACTGAAAAGAAAACCTAAAGGCAATATAATGGTATGCTCATTATGTTTTCACTGTTTGTTTCTTTTTAAGGCACCAAACTGTCTTCAACCACGATAAAGGAACGCTAGATGCTTCGTGAAACATTTTCAGAAATTCATATCGTTTTTAAGTATGCTTCTTAGCCATGGTTTCAGTTCCCCAGAACTGAAAAATATAGGAGGGAAGGAAGAAAGGAAGGAAGGAGGGAGAAAGGGAGGGAAGGATAAAATAAGCTTTATAATTACAAATTTCAACTATATGCACCAGTTTTTTTTTGTTTCCTATTTCAAAGGGTGATGAGTACATACTCAGGCACTGAGAAAAAGATCCAGCAATCTGTCATGAAAAAGAGGACGTCTGGTAATACGGTAGTTGTAGGTGCAGTGACACCTATATGCTGAGGCTGAGCAGATCTCCATGCCCCACACTGAGGATGACTCTGGGTGCCCAATGATCTTGGCAGCCGTGAGCCAAAAGAGTAGTGCATTAATTTTTCTGCAGTAGCAAAAGCAGGCAAAAGGAAAATCACAATTCAGAGATGACCCACAATGGGGGCCACAGAGGTAGCTCAGTGGTCTAAGTGCCTGGTTTAGGCCAACGCAAGGACCAAGATTCAATCTACATGCTGTACCAGCCCTGCCCTGGGCACACTGAGCAGGCCACTGAAACCAGGTATGGTGGCTCATGCCTGTAATCCCAGCACTGGGAAGGCTGACACAAGAGGATCACTATGAGTCTGAGCTGCATAGGGAAACCCTGTTCCAAATACATTAGAGAGAGAGAGAGAGAGAGAGAGAGAGAGAGAGAGAGAGAGAGGGAGAGAGAGAGAGAGAGAGAACCCACAACACACACACAAAACAGAAAATTAAGCAAGTTATCCAGGAAGTCTGTGCAGACAGCTTTTTTCTATTCCTTTCACCTGTGTGGCCATCAGGTGGGATGACAATGGGAGCTCATCATATTTGCTATAAAGGTTTTGAGATGATGCACAACCAGGCATCACCTCATGCAGAAAGTGACTCAATCAGACACTGAAATGCAGAAAAGAAAGAGCTGAGAGTGACTTGCAAATCTGTCCTTTGTTCCCTCTACTGTAAAGCCTGACCTCAGGGTTGCCCCTTCTTGGAACAGAGTTGGGTAGGAAAACAGAAAAGATTTATCAGATACCACATGCAGTACAGATTAAATCAATCTGTTTGGTTGTCCATGAAATGAAAAAAAAAATCAACCAATCAATCAATCAGACTCTCTTTAGCAATCAATTTTCTGCAATTCTGTGTTTCTGAGCTGGGGAGGTATCTCAGCAGTGCAGAGCCTGCCTGGAGAGTACAAGGCCCTGAATTTGAATCCCAATATCAAAAAAGAAATCTACTT